GGGGTGTGGGGTGGGGCCAAACATGGGTGGTGTCGCCCACCTGGTAGCTGTGGTGGTGGCCGTGGAGCGTCAGGTCCACCTGGTGATATGAGAGGAGGGGGACGCGGCCGGGGGGGGGGGCGGCTGGGTCAGAACCACCTTGAGATTTCGAGCCTTGTGATTTCCAGCCTGGCGGGTTTGCCATGGCAGGGCACACACGTGAGGCCAGTGTCCCCACCGACAGGGAGCAACCGAAGTATGAGGTATTCCAATAGATTGGTAGCAAGCCACGGCTGCGCGTCGCGTCGTCGGTGACGTCACCGTGACCTCACCCTGTGCTCCAGCAGCAGCCCCTCAATCGCGTCCCGCGCCTCCTGCGCCGCCGGCTGGTCGCCGTCGGGCACCCAGTTGTTGGTGGACGAGATGTACAGCGGGCGGTGGCCGGACACCACCAGCCACGGGGTGACGGCCCTGCGAGTACGACCGTGGTGCGGCCGGTCGAGGGACTTGATTGGGCGCGGAGGTTTCCGACGCAGGGCGCAGCAGGGGGGTGATGATGCGGCGTCGGGATGGCGCAAGCAGCTGGCCGGTGAGGGCTGTCAAGGGAGTCAAGGGAGCATGCTGAGGTTGCGCTGGGCCTGTTTGTCATGAGTTCAGATCTGATCTGATCTGATGTATGATGTCAGCAAACCTAATATCACCTGTCCGCTGCCTCGAGCTCCTGCTTGATCAACGCATGCTGCTCAGATCCTGGGGGTGGCGGGAGCGTGGGGGGTGGGGAGGAGGAGGTGCACTAGATGAGTGGCGTCCAGGTGCCATGATGCCACGCGCCCGAATATCGGCACAGCACACATGTGCGCCGATGCGCAGACCATGCACACCCCGTCCCTCGCCAGGCCCGGACCCCCAACCCGCGGCGCCGCGGGGCCGGCGCGCGGCGCGGCCGGCGGGGCCAAGGGCGCGCGGGGCTCCGCGGCCGTCTGTCTTCCCCGCGTCCGGCCGCCCGCCGACGCCGTTTCGCTCCGCCCGGCCGCGGGCGAACGCGGGCGCGTGCGTGGGGCGCCCGGGGCCTCACCCTGCTTGAGTGCGTGCTCTGTGCTGTATTGGATGAACCTCACAGGGCCCAGGGTGAAAGCATACCTGAAAATTTGTGTTTTGGGGGGGGGGAGGGGCGGAAGGGTAGGAGAAGCGCCCACCAGGGCGGAGATGAAGATTCGGAGGGTGGGGCCGCGGGGTGAGGGGCGGAGTTGGTGGGATGAAGGGCCAGGGCGGGGGGTTGTGCGCAGTTGGAAACTCGGGGGGTTTGAGAGGGGTTGCCCCGCGCGGCTTTGAGG